TACATATAAATATTAATCTAGCTTTGACAATAAAGCCTTATTGATGAAAGTCACACCTCTCCAAAGATATGTTTTATATTACTCGTTAATTTATGATACAATCTTTATATTTTTGTTATTTTGGTATCGAAGCCCTTTCTTTTTTAATAGACTTTATTTTTAAAGCAGTTTTAAGTTCACAGCAAAACCGAGCAAAAAAGCACAGAAAGTTCCCATGTACTCCCTGTCCCTGCCACCCCACACAAGCCTCCCTCACGGTCAGTATCCCACACCATAATGTCCAGTTTTAAAATATGCTTCGACCCATTTAAACAACCATAGAATGTTCCCAAAATCTTCCTGACAACAAACAGCATGAATACGTGCCTACTGGCCGGGAGTGAGAACCAAGAGGTTGAAGATTTTCTTCCGTATTGTTCTCAAAGCCAAGACTTAGGCCTACAGCAGACATCCAGCCTCCTCCCTCTGCCTTGGCCATTCTGTCTTGATCACCACAGCCGTGTACTTCAGCAGTTGCAACCACTTGCTTTCCAAGCCTACGAAATCTTCCTTTTGCTCCAGTTGCAAGGGGGAGGCATTGGCTAAAGCAAATCGTAGTCTCTGTGGGTGTATCTGGGAGGCAATGAAACCAATAGCTGAATGCCTCCATCCCCACAGAGACAGAGTTACAGTGGACTGCCATTCACTCACACTGCAGAAACATCTTTGTCTAAGCATAACATCGTCCAGCCAGTTACAGGAGTAAGTGGCTTCATCTCAAAGTAAAAGTTAAAAAGAAAAAAAATTTAAAGGAAACTGGGATTTTTTGGCTCAACTAGCCGGTCTTGCATCTGGAACTAAAATCAGAGGCCAGCCTCAAAAATGGGCGAAGGACTTGAATAGATGTCTCTCCAAAGAAGGCATACAGATAGCCAGTGAGGACCTGAGAAGACCTTCAACATCACTAACCATTAGGGAAACGCAAAGCAAAACCACCATTTACTACCACTTTTCAACCATCAGGATACCTAGTGGGTTTCTTTTTTTCCATTCCTTTCTTTAAAAAAAAAAAAAAAAAAAAAACTTGTATTTTAGGTTCGGGGGTACCTGTGGAGGTCTGTTACATAAATAAACTGCTGTGTCATGGGGGTTTGTTGTATAGATTACTTCATCACCCAGATATTAAGTCCAGTACCCAATAGTTATCTTTTCTGCTCCTCCTTCCTCCCATCCTCCACCCTCAAGTAGACCCCAGTGTCTGTTGTTTCCTTCTGTGTTCATGAGTTCTTATCATTTACCTCCCACTTATATGTGAGCACACGTGGTACTTGGTTTTCTGTTCCTGTGTCAGTTTGCTAAGGATAATAGCCTCTAGCTCCATCCATGTTCCCACAAAGGACATGATCTCATCCTTTTATATAGTTGCATAGTATTGCATGTGTATATGCACCACATTTTCTTTATCCAGTCTGTCATTAATGGGCGTTTAGGTTGATTCCATGTGTTTGCTATTGTGAACAGTGCTGCAGTGAACATTTATGTGCATGTGTCTTTAAGGTAGAATGATTTATATTCCTCTGGGTCTATACCCAGTAATGGGATTGCTGGGTCGAATGGTAGTTCTGTTTTTAACTCTTTGAGGAATCGCCATATTGCTTTTTACAATGGTTGAACTAATTTACACTCTCATCAAAAGAGTATGGGAGTTCCCTTTTCTCTACAACCTTGCCAGCATCTGTTATTAATTTTTTTTACTTTTTAGTCATAGCCTTTCTGACTGGTGTGAAATGGGATCTCATTGTGGTTTGGATTTGCATTTCTCTAGTGATCAGTGATGTTGAGCTTTTTTTCATATGCTTATTGGCCGCATGTATGTCTTCTTTTGAGAAGTGTCTGTTCGTGTCCTTTGCCCCACTTTTTAATGGGGTTGTTTTTCTTCTGTATATTTGTTTAAATTCCTTATCGGTCCTGGATATTAGACCTTTGTCAGATGCATAGTTCGCAAATATTTTCTCATTCTGTAGGTTGTCTGTTTACTCTGTTGATAGTTTCTTTTGCTGTGCAGAGGCTCTTAGTTTTAATTAGATCCCACTTATCAACTTTTGCTTTTGCTGCGATTGCTTTTGGTGTCTTTGTCATAAAATCTTTGCCCACTGCTATGTACAGGATAGGATACCAAATATTTTTTTAAAAGAAAGAGAGAAAAGAAGAAGCGTTGTCAAGGATTTGGAAACATCAGAACACTCATGCATTGCTGGTAGGAATATAAAGTGGTACGGTGTCTGTGGCACGGTAATTCCTTGAAAAATTAAACACGGAATTACTACATCATACAGCAATTCCACTTGTGGATATCTACATTAGAAAACTGAAAACAAAGACTTGAACAGATATTTGCACAACAATGTTCATTATTCACAATAGCCAAAAGGTAGAAACAACCCAAATGTCCATCAGTAGATGAATAAAATGTGATACATGCATGGAATGAAATATTATTCAGCCTTAAAAAGAAACGAAGTTCTGACTCATGCTGCAACACAGATGAACCTTGAGGATATTATGCTAAATGAAATAAGCCAGACACAAAAGGACAAATACTGTATAATTCCATTTATATGAGTTACTGAGAATAATCAAATCATAGAGACGGAAAATGGAACCGTGGTTACCAGGAGATGAGAGGAGGAGGGAGGGAGGGAGTTGGTGTGTCGTGGGTACAGAGTTTCAGTTCTGCAAGATAAAAAAAAAAGTTCTGGAGATGGATAACGGTGGTAGCTATGCAGTAGTATGAATGTCTTTAGTGCCGCTGAATTGTACACTCAAAAAGGGATAAAATGGTAAATTTTATGTTAGATATTTTACCATGTTTTTTTTAAGTTCACTTAAAAAAAAAAATCAGGAGCCAGCACCCCTTTTTGCACCAAGTCTTCCCATCAGAGCAGGGATAGGCCAGGGAGGCTGCCTGTGTCCAGTCACAGGGGACAGTGGTTTCAGGTGGGGATGGGCCTGGGAGGCAGAGGCAGCCTCATTCCCTCCTGCTCTCTCTCTCGCCGGGGATGACATGCAGGTAAGTGGTGGAACCAGCATCCAACCCAGAGACCCTCGTCCTTATCCACCTTCTGCTGTTTCTGCCCACAACCCAGTCTCCCCCACTGTGCTGAGGTCCGTCTGCTCAGGCCCTGGCAGATCAGGCACCACCATACCTTCCTCTCTGTTCACGGGTTCAGTATTTGCCTCAAATGCCCTTGGTACTCTCACGCTGGAAAAAGAACATCTGAGAAACATATCAATGGCTGACAGTAGGAAAATCAGAGGTATCTTTGCAAATTAGAAAATAAAGTGAAAGACCTGATAGGTGATACACTTTCTACAGAAAATCAGCTTCATTTCCCTATTCTCGTCCCACCATTGTTACCTTCCTGGCCCAGCTCACCCTTGGCACCAGGCAGCACCACCCAGGAGTGAAAGTGTCCCTTACTTGGACAAGCGGGGGGAGACGTGCAATCCACAGAGCCCCCAGTTTATTTGGCCTCCCCGTAGGTTTCTGCTGTAGCGTGAGTGAGGTTTACAAGAAGACCCTCATTCTCCATCTTATAAGGTTCTTCCTGAAATATTCCAGACAGGAATGGAACTGACGAGATGCTTGGAAGGGTGCAGGGCTGCATGAAGCCACCTGTCCATGTCCCCACCCTGAAACAGGGTCGCAGTGGATAAGCGCCCGCTTTTAGGGACATTGGAGGTGGGAAGTCCATTGTTACTCCTGTGTTGACATCACACGCTAGAAGGGAGTCCTGTTTCCTCGCCCTGAATCCCTGACACTGCAAGGAAGCTATTTCCTCGAACTCTTGGGAAGTAGGGGAACTCCTGGCCACCAGCCTTTGTTTAACAGCCCTTCCTGTTGTCAAGGAGTGATGCCCCCACCACCCCCTGGCTCTGCTGCAAAGCAGGTGATTTAACTTTGAGTCATCTGGGTGACTTCTCAGAAGCCGTAGAGGCTCACCATGACCTGTCACAATGGGAAGACAGCTGAGTGTGAGACGCATGGAGACCCAGCCTTGACCACCACTGGGGAGGACAAGCTCAGGAGAAGGAAGAGGGTGACTGGGAGGGAGGAAAACGCAATAGGGCAGTGACTCTGCAACTTGAGCGCCACAAAATCCCCTGGGGCTTGTGAGAACACAGATGTCGGGGCCCCTCCCCAGCATTTCTGATTCAGGAGGGCCGGGCAGGGCCTGAGAATCTGCATTTCCAATGAGTCCAGGGTGGCACTGAGCCTGCTGATCTGCGATTGGATAAAGATGCCCCGTGATGGTCGTTTCTGGAAGGGACCCACCCACCCTCCACTGCCTCAGGACCAGCCTTGGTGCCCACCCGCCTCCATCCCCACCTTCGTGCCCCCAGCAGGGCTGAGTCCTCCCCACACCCACCAGCCACCCCATCTCTGCCGCTGCTGTGCTGTGCTCCTCGGACAGTCCTGGGTATTTCCCTGTCCTGCTCTGCATCTCTGAAAGCTGCCTGGGCCTACACCCTTGGCAGGGGCCCTGACCTCCGTGACTTGCCAGTTACCTGCTCCTTATAAAGCCCCCACCTGCAATCTGACTGACAGACTCAGGGATCCTCTTACCTGCCTGTGATGTCTTTTCCTACCCAGACTGACCTCCCATCTGCGAAACCCTCCCATCCTTGGATGCCCAGCTTCACATCCTCCAAGGGCTCTCCTCTTTAAGACTTTCCAACTCCCAAGCATTAAAAGTACCTCTTTCTTCCCTGGTGCCCACAGAGCAGTCACTGTTTCTCAGCTATGACTTCCTACGAGTAACACTGAAAACACAGATAGATTCCTGTCTCTACCAAAAACCTTTAAAAATTAAGAATTAGCTGGGTGCGGTGGCGTGTGCTTATAGTCCTGGCTACTCCGGATGCTACAGCAGGAGGATCGCTTGAGCCCACGAGTTCAAGGTTGCAGAGATGGTGCCACTGCAGATTGAAACCCTGTCACTAAAAAAAAAAAAAAAAAAAAAAAAATACACAAAATAAAAATAGGTAGATAGATGATTGACAGATATGAAGGTATGACACAGCGACGTGTGTCATACTTCATTGTTCTTGAATGTATGCTTTTGCAAACTCATCCCCTACACAACACTGCCCCCAACTCCAACCCAGATCTGGAGTACGCCCCCAGGCAGGAGCTCCAATAAACTCCCAATCACTCATCTATGTTGTATTATAGGAACTGTTTATACATATATAAACATAAATTTATACTTATTGTTACTATTTGTGTGCACATGTTTATGGTAGGCAGAATAATATCCTCCCCGCCCCCAGCAAAATATGGCAAAATAGGGCCATTTCCCAATCCCCGAAACCCATGAGTATGTTACTTTCCATGGCAAAAGGGACTTTGCAGGTGTGATCAAGGTTGAGACGAGAAAATTCTTCTGGACTATTCAGGTGAGCCCAATCTCATCACACGAGCCCTTAAAGTGGGGATCCTTTCCCCGATGTGGGCACGGACAGGTGTAAGCACGGAAGGGTCAGAAACAGAGGAAGGGGCCACAAGCCCGGGGCAGGAAGAAGCTGGAAAGCACAGGAGAAAAGAATCTCCAGAAAGGAGAGCAATGCCGCCACCTTCACGTTAGACCCAGGAGACCTGGGTCAGGTGGCTGGCCACCAGGAGTGTAAGATAGTAAGTTTGCATTGTTTTAAGCCACCGTGTTTGTGATCAGTTGTTAGAGCAGCAGCAGACCTAATACAGCGTGTGCGTGTGTATGTGTCTGTATACACACGTGTGCACTTGTATCCCTGCTATGCCAGAGTTCTTGAAGACAAGATGTGTGCTCAGTTCACCTTTGTATCCCTTATGGAACCCAGAAGGAACCATCGCGGTGAGGACATGTTAGTGTAATTCCACCCATATATGAGTAATTCTTAAATGACACACAGTGTACATTGACCGGGGCTGACATTCATTTCTAAGCCAGGAAAGATGGTCATGAGGTGCAAAGAGGAAACCTGTTGCCCTGGAGGTTGCCAAAATCTCTCACCTCAGAAGACGCTTTCTGGGAGATGTCATGGCCCAAATCAAGCCATAAGGAACTGTACCTCTGACCTGTAAGTATTTCCTTTGATAATGATGAGCTAGACTCACGCTGTTGCCAGGTAGAACCCTGGAGCCGCCATGCATCCTTCCAGAGCCTCCACCTCCCACTGATCCAGCCCAGAGACAGAGCAGCAGCTACAAGGAGCCAAGCCACAGCATAGGGCATCAGAAGACCCCAGGCCGGGCCCTGCCTTCCAGCCCCTCACCCCTCTCCTTGCTGAATCTGGAAGCTAGCTAATCCAGGCAGGTGGTTGGAGGGATAGAGGAGGCCCAGGAAGGTTCTGGGCGCCAGACGCAGGAGAGGAGACCAAAGGCTGGGAGAAGAGGGTATTTCCAGGAAGGAGACGCCCTGCTGGGAAACCCTGACCCCGGCCGGTGGCCAGGATGCCAGCTCTCTGCTAAGCCTAACAAGCCTGGTCACAGACACAGCATCGAAGTCCCAGTCCCAACCAGCTGGGCCAGATGTGTGATGACATCACCGCTCTAATGACCCCGGCAGGTGACCGAAATCAATCTCCGGTCTGGGACAAAGAGTCACTGACATGATAAACACTGAAAGCCAAGCAGATAAGATGAAATGGGCGGGTGGCTTCCCTGAAAGAGTTACTGAAGGGTTGTCCGAGCCTTTGACAACCTTCCTCTGATGAACAATTATTGGTTGCATGGTTGGTATGAGCCAGGTGTGGACGCAAAGGTAAGCAACACATTCCCTATCTAGAAGGAGGCAGAATAACTAAGATTTCTTGGGAATAAAATCTGACCCAGCTCCTAGTACCTGCTCAACAATCTTAGCTCTTTTATTCACATTTATTCAGTCTCAGATTTGCTCCCCACTTCCTGTTCCCATCCCTCAGCTTTTTCGTTTAGTGCAAGCATCTAGTCCTTCCCTCGATACCAATGCAAATAGCCAAGACCCTTCCATTCATGCAAGACCCCATCTTCTTCCACTGCTAAAGAACTCTTGACTTAGTACAACATAAAAGACTTAAATTGTTTTCAGTTTATCTACATGAGGCCCGGCACGCTAAAATTTCCAAAGGATATGGAGTTGCTTCGTGACCTTTTGCAACTTCCTTTCTTTGCAAACCAATACAGAAAAAGGTGACCATCCTTCAAGCAGCCAGTTAGGTGGTTGATAAACATCCGAGTTCTAAGAAAGAGAATTTCCAAGAGAAGAGGTAACTTCTGCACCTCCTCACAAGAGTGCAGTGTGCATGGGATCCTAATTTCTCAACCTGGGCCTTCCATTTCTAAGTTATTCTAATGGCAGATATTATGAAAATATTCTCACTCCCCTACATCGCTCAGAATCTTCTTGTCATCAGATAATGTCTCATAGAGGAAGGAGTCATTTTCTGGGAGCTCTAACCACAAGAAACATCTGGAGCCTTCTTAGAAGCCAGGGTTAAACGTCAGGGTGACTGGAACATTTGGGATGGTCACATCATTCCTCTCCTAGCTTTACGTCAGGGAAACAGGTGGTACCACGGTGTGATTCAGGGCAGCGTGTGACGTCAGCCTGCATGCTGTGGGGGCAAGAGTGTGCCCTTATGAAAAACAAGCCCTCGAGAGATGAGAACCAATCTTTGGAGACACCAGCATTAAATGCCAGGAGCTTGGCCGTTGGCTATAGGAATTTCCCAAACAGCAACGTCTGTTACTAAGGAAACGACAGTATCACTGTAATCCTCTAGCAGCTACTGTTTTACAGCACTGACCCGGGGAGACAATGGTCTTGCACCTGCTCACGCGCTCAGTCCTCCCAGCAGCCTTGCCAGGGATATGTGTGACATCCTCAGCACACCCTAGGATGTGATACTGTGTGAATCAGCCCATTCCTCAGATGAGGAGATTGAGGCAGCTGGGAAGTGTGTCCTGCTTGGGTCACATAGTGAGTGAGGGGCAGAGCTGTGACGACGAAGTTCTCCCACTCCAGCCCCCTCCGTAGAGTCCTGTCCGTGGCATTGAGGCCAACCTTCACACCCGCTGGGTTGCTGCTTCTCAGAGGGTTTCCATCGGTTTCCTCGGCTCTGCAGCCCCAGCCTCCTCCACTTCCTCCCTCGCCTTTATCTCTCCAGCACATGCTCACAAAGAGGAAAACGACCACCGCAGCAAGCCAAGCTGTCTGTGCCACCGCCCCGCCAGAAGCTGGAAGGCACTTGCTTGTATGCTTTCAGAGGCAGGTCCCTGGAAGAAGGTCTCCTCAGCTGTATGCATTTCCTAGGGCTGCCATAAAAACGGCCACAAACTAGGTGTTAATTCTTTTGTTCTTAAAACAACAGAAATGTATCGCCTCATAATTCTGGAGGGCAGAAGTCTGCCAACAAGGCGGTGGAAGGGCCACGCTGCCCTGAAGGCTCAGGGAGGAACCTTCCCTGCCTGTCCCAGCCACCATTCCCTGGCCATGGCTGCACTGCCCCCGTCTCTGCCTCCAGCTTCACGCAGCCTTCTTCCTGTGTCTCCCCTTCCTAGAAGCAGAGCAGGCATTGGATTTGGGGTCACTCTAATTCACTATGACCTTATCTTGACTTAACATCTGCAAAGACCCTGCTTCTAAATAAAGTCACATTCTGAGGTTCTGGTTAGACATGAATTTGGGGGAACATTATTCAATCCACTTAGCAATGTCCTGTACCTCCTCTGCCAGGCCTCTCCTGAAAACAAGCAGGTGGAGACACCACCCAGAGGAGCATCAGGACAGCGTCTGGCATCTCCAGCCTTCCTGGTGACAGGCAGACTCAGGAAGGTGGGGCTTGGGTCCCAGCTCCCCACTTCCTGCCCCCATCTCTCAGCTTTTTCTTTTAGTGCAAGCATCTAGTCCTTCTGTTGATATCCATGCAAATAGCCAAGACCCTTTCATTCATGTAAGACCCCATCTTCTTCCACCACTAAGAACTGTTGGCTTAGTAGAATATAAATGACTTAAATTGTTTTCAGTGTATTTACATGAGGCCTGGCACTCTAAAATTTCCAAAGGATACAGATTAGGGGATGGGATGGGGGGATGAAAGGACATCAAGTTTGACTCCATCCATACTTGGGGAAGAACTGCAAAGTTTCCTGGGGTCTACATAGGCCGGAAAAAACATGTTCCCAAAGTTACACGCCCTCGTTCCTCAGATATTCAGTCTTGCACAGAATGTCAGGCAACCAGTTTTCCAGCTTCAGGTTTCTAAGTCGATTTCCTCTCAAGTTTTATGCGTCTGTATATTGGAAAGCCCTGCGGTTGGGGTCGGAAGTCCTGGCTGGGCTTCAGGACTTTATCACATTGGGTGAGTCCACGGGTCCTCAGTCAGAGATTCCACGGTAACATATAGAGAGATGAGGGCAGAAACGTGGCTCAATGTGGCAACCCCATGACCACCGATAGGGATCACCACAGTGAGAGCGCTTCCCAAGCTCCACGAGCCACCCAACCCTTCCTGGTCATGAGTGATCAGAACGCCCCAAATGACTGTTGAGATGCACTCAGTGGATCAGAAAGGCAAGTGGGTGAGAGCAGATCACAGCCCTCCAAGAGCAAGGTTCTCTAGGAAGGAATGATCCAGAGAACACAGTGGGTGTCAGATGACTTGGGAGAAACACTGTTCCGTGTAGTTGAGGAGATTCAAGATTTAAACTTGAAGAGCTGAGTCAAGTATGAAATGGGGCTTCTGTTTTTCCACTGGGTTTATTCAAACGGTGGGTCCCCTGCTTCCTCCAGCCCATTCTGTGGTTGAAAGACATCATCGGCCATGTACTTTCTGTTTCCTCTGTCCTGCTGGCCCCCAGGCTCCAAGGAATCCTTCTGCCCTCCCGCAAGATGACACCTGATGAAAAAAAAGAATATCGAGTCAGTGCAAGCAGTGTGCATCTCCACGGCACAGCTAGCTGCCCCAGGGGACTGCTCAACTCACTTTGTACTTGAAACATTTCTTTTTTTAACCTAAACTAAATTTAGGAACTAGCCAACAGAATAGAATAACAGGAAAACTCACGCCAAAGCGCTGGCACCTCCCACCCTGTCCCGCCCAGCTTCCAGCTTCCTCTTTCCTCAGCCAAGAACCCGGACAGCCTGACCCTGCCTGCAGAAGGTCCTGTAATTCCCAGCAGCTGATGGCGAAGATTCAGAGCCTCACACTGAATCTTCTTCCAGCAAAGGAACAGGGTCCAGAGAGCCGTGCACAGCCCACGGCCACTCACAGAGGGGAATCCCAGGCAGAAAAGGACTCAAAATTCAAATCTGGCCACTCACAATCCCCTTCCTGCATTTACTTCCTCATTACCCTTACAGGTATAGAGAGAACACCAACGTTTCTGTTTTAGAATAATGTTTCTTAGGTTGTATTCCACATGGTGTGAACTTTCTAGAAAAATGTTTCCATGTTATATTACCATTCAGTTGACAATATAAATTTTAAAAATTATTCTACTTTCATAAATTCACAGTTAAAAGACAGTTTTGTAGAATAAGACTAACACAGTGTTTTACAAATGAGAGAGAATCCATTGTTTTTTCCCCTTTAAATGAGATCTAAGCATTACTCAAATTTGGAAGAAAGAAAAAAAGCAGCGTTAGAATACAATGGGTAATCCAGTAGTCCTCAAGGTGTGCTCTCAGGGCCAGCAGTGTCAGCATCACCTGGGAGCTTGTTAGAAATGCAAACTCCTGGGCCTCACCCAGATTTTCTGAATCAGAACTCTGAAATCCATGTTTTAACACGCCCTCCAGGGAATTCCGACACAAACTAAACCTGAGAACCACTGTTGCAATCTAATGAATATTCAAATTGTTATGCTAGAACCTGGAATTCTAGCATCTCTTACCACATATTTTTAATTGAACCCAGGGCGTTTCTGCACATATTTTCACCTGCCACCTATTTCACTTTGTAATGGGTTCCTTTGGCCAATTATATGATGCCTCAGATCCCAAGAGAGATTTCAGCACAACTCCTGGGGCTGCTGTGTGATGGAGTAACTATTCTTCACAGGGTTTGCATCATTCGCTGAGCAGGTACCAGACACCAGGCACTGCACAAATTCATTTAATCCTCCCAACAACTGATAAGATTTAAAATAACAAACTAAAAACAACAACAACAACAACAACAAACACTCTATTAACTTCATTTCACAGATGATAAAACTGAGGCCTAGAGAAGTTAAGCAACTTGCCCAAGGTCACACAGCTGATTGGGACAGAGTTAGAGCTGGAGCTCACGTTGCCTGGTCCCCAAAGAAAAATTATCTGGAACACTTTATAGAACAGGATAGACACCTAAACCTCAAGGGACTTCAGACGCAATGAAGTCCACTCCCCCATTTCACAGATGAACATACTAAGGCCCATGGGTCTTCCAGGGAAATGGTACAGGGTCCTCCAGCCGGCTGCAGCAGAACCAGAACAACCCTGAGGTCTACCATATTGTACTTTTCACTTAGAAAAGCCACAGGCCCTGAGTGACAGATGGAGAGGACAGGGCCTAGGTCACATGTCCACAAGCACTTGGCTCTGCTTCAAAAGCTCTCACGATTCCCAAAAAGCAAGAACTAGAGGCCTGACCTGATGTGAACGAAAGAATTTTTGAATTCTAATGGATAATGAGTCACATAATTCTCTTCCTTGGAGGAGCATCTTTAACAGGAATAACTCCAGTGCTAATAGATCAGCTTTTTCTAAGGAAGTCACGACTTTTCCCGCCTTGTCACCTCAGAGAGGATTTCTGCTGTAAGCTGTTTGAGCCTGTTTCCGGTTCCTCCGAGGCAGAGAAGCCAAACTATGCTGGTGGAAACCTGTCTCTTTTTCTTTTTCTTTCTCTGCCACCCTGTTGCTTTTGTTTTCAGCTGCTCTCGGCCCCCTGACCCTGCTCCCGTCCCCCTGACCCTGCTCCCGTCCCCCCAACCCTGCTCCCGTCTGTGTCTCTTCTGCTTTTACAAAGGGTGAGTTTCCACTGTTTCTTCTGTGATGCTCAAACGCGATTAGTGTCCACCCCCTCCCTGTGTACGGAACTGGTGTTCGAGCCCTAACCGTTTCCACAGCCTTGACTATTTTTCCCTAACAAAATATACCTTTGAATAAATGGCCTTATTGTGCCACCACCTTGGCCTCTTGAATGACAGTTTCTTCTCGTGTGATTACAGCGTAGCTTTCATTGGAGATTTGTCTGTCCTAAAACAGCCTCTGGGATAAAACCCCTCTGGTTCTGCTGTGGGGTCATCGGTAGCAATATGCCTGCCTCATGTCCACTTCCGCACAAGGCATGGGGCCACCAGCCATCGTCCCAGCCCTCCAAGAGGCCTTTTAAACTCCCTGGGAAGACAAGACATGTTCACCCAGCACTGAATTCAGGCCATAATGCATCATTCAGTCACTTCAGTAATCCCCATCTTGGGGGAGCCACAGACCGGGGGTGAGAAAGCACAGAATTACGACAAGGTGTCTAGGAACTCAGGTGTCCAACAAGCATTGTCTGAAATCTGAACAAATCGATTGACTGTTTTGCAATAAATATGTAGGTGCTATTGAGACTAGCAAACCCCAATTGCCTTAAAAGGGTCAATAATTTATTTATAACACCTACTTGACAATAGTTATTTTCTCAACTAACAAATACCAACTGATCCCTTGAATCTTTAAGAAGTGTTGACATTACAAAGGACCCTCATTCCAAAACACTGGGAACCCATGATCCAAGCAGTCTGTGTCCTGGGAGGCGAAGGTGTGGGGGGGTCACCTCAGCAGGGCCTGGGGAAAGGCTCTTCGGGGGGAGGAGCTTCTCACCTGCTTTTGTGCAGGCAGTGGAGTGGCAGTGGGACTTAGGTAAGTGGGCGGTAAGTGGGCAGGGCCCACATTCCCCAAAAGGGAAGAGACTGCAGAGCTGTGGGGGAAGAAACGGTCCGACCTCAGCTTTTGTTCTGTCCTCCCTGCACTCTCTTACTAGCAGCTGGAGGTCAGAAAAGGGTGTTTGTTCAGGGCTGCTTGAGTGGGCAACAGCTGAACCTCTCTGAACACAGCTTCCTCTTCATAGCCTCCAGCACCTGGCTCACTCTCCTCCTGGCCAGCCAAGAGTCAGCTGGAAATACAGCCCCCAGAGCCAAGGCTGACGCTGGCCCAAGGCACTGGCTGTGTGTTCCGCCTCAGCCCTGTCAGGTCAGCGCCTCCACTAACGAAAAGAGACTTGCTCCGTGGAGCTTGCAATGTGTTTTGAGGTGGGAGGCAGGGATTTGGAGAGGAAGCTGGATCACCTAAAATGCCGACAGACAGACGTACCTTTGCACAAACAACGCCAACATGCTGGCAGGATTCAAGTCATTCTTGTTGCTGTGAAAACATGTTGATTCTATAAATAAAACAGTGCATCCCCACTGCTGACCTCTAAGATAAGGAAAGCTTGCCCCACTCCTGTAAAACAAGAATATTCTTCTGAATTAGTCAGACCAAGAGGCTGGCTGTCAGGGCTCCTGAGAGGCCCTACAGGAATCAGAAGCCATCCTAGCCAGCTTCTGTGCCCTCATTCCCAATGCAGCCTCTTCCTGGGGGACAGTTGAGAAAACCCAACCCGGATCAGGCACTGGCTTCCGTTGGCTCCCTGACCTTCCAGCCAGGACCACTTTCCTGAGTGTTAAGGCTCAGTGGCACCAGCAGCTTTACCTCCAACAGCCAGAGCCCGCTCCCAGTTTCAATCCTTGCTCCCCATGGCTTCCAGGATGGACCCAAGCTCCAGAGAGATGTGCAAAGCCCTCCCAGCTCTGGCCTGCTGGCCTCCCAGGCCATGACCACACACACCCTCTCCCTCTCTCCCGCCATCCCCGGGCCTCCCTCCAGCTCCCTAGTCAGGCTTCCCTAGGAGCCTGGCCACTTCATCTGTGCTGCGGCTGTTCCACAAGTTGCTGCCCCCCGTGCTCCTGGTCGATGCACCCTCAGCCTTTGCATTCCATGTTCATCCACCACTTGGGCACTCCACAACTCTGTGTGGCCCTGCCCTGGGGTGGGTGCTGGGGGGTACTGAAGAAGACAGAGACTCTGGGAGCTCATGAGGCTTATGATCTCCTCTACTAGAGAGAAGCTGAACAGTTATGCATGTTGCTATTTAGCGACATCTGGTATCAGCGCTACCTCGGAAAAGAAGGCTGAATGCAGGGAGAGGATGCCAGCCTGGGGCGCTGAGGAAGGCGTGGCGTGTGGCCCGCGGGAAAGTATGAGGGGCTGTCCTTCTGGAACAGGAAGTAGAACGCTCTGAAGGACATGTCACAGGTTCTTCAAGCTCACTCTGGCAGCCGCTGGAGAATGGACGGGAAGGAGCCAAGGATGGCACCAGGAAGCCACCGGGGCAGTGTTTGCTGCTGTCCACGTGGGAGATGGTGATGGATGCCCTGTCCTGAGGGAAGCTGTGGAGGCTTATCCAAGTACACAGAACAACTCTGTGCTGAGGGAGAGGAAGGGGGTGTATCCTTCAGGATTCCCCAGGAAACTTAACCATAGGGGACATAGATAGATAGAGATGTATTACAAGGAATTGGCTTGTGTGATTATGGAGGCAAAGAAGTTCCAAGATCTGCAGTCAGCAAGCTGGAGACCCAGGAGAGCTGAGGGTACAGTCCCATCTGAGTCCAAAGGCCTGAGAACCAAGAGAGCCCGGAGTGTAGGTTCTAGTCCAAAAGCTGCAGGCTCAAGACCCAGGAAGAGCTGGTGTTTGAGTCCTAGCCCAAAAGCAGGAAAAAGCCCACGTGCTAGCTGGAAGGCCGGCAGGCAGGAGGAGTTCTCTCTTACCTGGGGGAGGGCCAGCCATGTTCTACTCAGCTCGGGACCCTCAGCTGATCGCATGACGCCCCCCACACTGGGGAGGACAATCTACTTTGCTCACTCATCAACTTAAATGATAAACTCATCCAAAACCAGCCTCACAGAAATGCCCAGAATCATGTTAGGCCAAATATCTGGGCACCCCATGGCCCAGTCAAGTTGCCGCATAGAATTATTCATGGCAGGGCGTTATGGAGGTTCTGAGAAGCAGTGTGGGGAGGCGGGGGCAGGATGTGCAGACACACACACGGGTGTGGAGCTCAGACAAGAAGAACAAGCAGGGGTACAGCCAGGGCAGTACAGGCATATGGAGGTTTCTGGGGCCCCGGGAGGCCATGGAGGCCCTAAAAGAAACAGGCTGGAGTTCAAGGCACATCCAGGAGAGCCCTGAGGACCCCCAAAGACCCCACTACTGGAAGTCTGAACAGATCGGAAGGTGCTGGAGGTAAAAGCACCTGGGAAGGGGCTGGGGTGGGACTGGCCCATGTGGGTCAGAGGGACCCTGTGCAGTGGGGCTCTGCGCCCAGCCCACCTGCTACTGACCCCTCAGGCACCTGCCCATTCACCCCACAGTACAATTCTAGGAGCGAGTGAGAAAATCCTCCTCTCCAGCTACCTGTTACCCTACCCCTGGCTTCCCTAGGCTCATTTAAGGAAAAGCAAACCAATTTCCTTTATAGAATGTGCCTGTAAGGCAATGTGACAAACAGCTTACAGCAGCCACCAGCAGACTTCACTCATGCCATAAGTGGTGCCCTCTGCCACGCTCTTGTCCTCAGAAGCCCTGAGCTCGCCACACAGGGCACCTCAAGACAGGAGGGGAGCGCCTGCCCATTCCACTGGCAAAGTTAGATGAGTAAGACACCTGCTGCAACCTCACCCCTCACACACACACACTCATGCTCACACTCACGCCTGCACACTCACTCATACACACTCTCAGTCACTCTGGTGTCCACACTCTCAGACCAATACTCACTGACACACATATGCACTCACATGCGCACACACACACACTCATACATGAACACCCGCACACTCACTGCCACTCACATACTCATGCTCACATACACTCACACATACACAATCACACTCACTTTCCCAATACACACATACACATTCTCATTCATTCATGTACCACATGCACACATACTCAAATGCTCACACATTCACACACACACATGCACACATGCACACTCTCAGATGCTCACATTCACACACACCACATGTACACACTCACACAGGCACACTCACACATGCACACCCTCAAATGCTCACACATTCACACACATATCACATGCACACACACATGCACACACACATGCACACACTCACATGTGCACACTCTCAAATGCTCACACACATTCACACACCCCACATGCACACAATCCTCACACATCCCCATGTTTCTGGCCACACCTGCCATTCCACACCCATCCCCTGTGGCCTGAGAGCCTGTCTGCAGGAGAAGGGGCTTCCTCCAGTGCACAGGGAGGGAGGGAGGCTCAGAAGGCCAAGCCATCAGCAGACCATTTAGGGGACCCCTTCCGAAGCAGAGGCTCATCATAGAAGTGGCAGTGAAACGCAGGATAAGTGGAGTGAGAAGGTGAGGCAGACACTAAAGAGAGGCTGTAAAGGGAGACACGTTTCATAGGAGGCTCTGCTGCCTCAGGGAAACACAGCAGAAGGCAGGACCAGGGTGCAGCCTGTATTAGTCCATTTTCATGCTGCTGATAAAGACATGCCCAAGACTGGGTAATTTATAAAGAAAAGAGGTTTAATGGACTCACAGTTCCACGTGGCTGGGGAGGCCACACAATCATGGCAGAAGGCAAGTCACATCTTACATAGTGGCAGGCAAGAAAGAATGAGAACCAAGTGAAAGGGGTTCCCCCCTGCTTTTTTTTTTTTTTTTTTTTGAGACGGAGTCTCGCTCTGTCGCCCAGGCTGGAGTGCAGTGGCGCGATCTCAGCTCACCGCAAACTCCACCTCCCGGGTTCACACCATTCTCCTGCCTCGGCCACCAGAGTAGCTGGGACTACAGGCGCCTGCCACCATGCCAGCTATGTTTTTTTTTTTTTTAGTAGAGATGGGGTTTCACCATGTTAGCCAGGATGGTCTCAATCTCCTGACCTTGTGATCCTCCCGCCTCGGCCTCCCAAAGTACTGGGATTACAGGCATGAGCCACCGCACCCAGCCTGGTTTCCCCTTATAAAACCATCAGATCTCATGAGACTTATTCACTACCACAAAGACAGTATGGGGGACACTGTGCCCATAATTCAATTATCTCCCACTGGGTCCCTCCCACAACACACGGGAATTATGGGAGCTACAATTCAAGGTGAGATTTGGAGGAGGACACAGCCAAACCACATCACAGCCCTCCACTATCAGGTTCCTGGCACTGTACAGACGTGGGAATCCAGGCAGGATGCTCTGCCTGGACCCCTCTCATGAAGACAAGGAGGGAATACACAGCAGGCAAATCCCAGGGACAAGCCAGGTTGTGACTTTGTGCCCCTAGTGAAAGAAGGAGCCGTTCACTTCATTCACTGTGAGGCGGTCTATGTGCAAAAATCATGTGAGCACCATGATTGGCAGTATTTTAAGACTTCTATAAATATTCAAAACTGAAAATAATAATCAGATTAGATTATTTTGGATTTGGACTTACTGAATTTATTTCTCTAGCATTATCATTTCACATATTTTTTAAACTTTTCATATTGAGAGAAGTATGAGCCAATTATCTTTTTCAGGCAATCACAGTACTGGTGTCACATCTCAGCAGCTGGGGGCTGGGGCCCTGGATTCAAAGCATCCATCTGAACACAATGTCACCCATGCACCCTGAGAGAGACAGCTTCAAGCAGTGGAGGTGTGTGGCCTGGAGGCCCCCAGTAGGCCACCAGGCATGTTTTCCAAGAAAACCGAATCTTCTGACGGGATTACTAACATTGGGAGATTTCCGTTTCTTGGATGCCAGTGGAGGAACTGTACCAGCCTTAAAAGAAATCACGTGAGCCTCCACTAATCTGCAAACAAAGGGGAAATTAAGGTTCTGCCCACTTTTGTGGTTTTTGCTTTTCTGGAAAGTGTACTTTGTGCATCCTTCTGTCATTACATAACACTGTATTAATAAGCAGTTGACTCAACTCCAGAGGACTTCTGAGCTAGTAAAGTCCACCACATGTTACTAAGTCTATTCTTCCTCCCAGAATAAAATCTTCCATCTTCTCTGAGTTAGGCCTTCTTCATCAGAACCATTTCTTTTCTTACTCAGCACTCTGAGGTTTTCTACTTGTCATCCAACCGTAGTGTCCACTGGTAAATTACACAGATTCACAACCAGTCACTTCTTTTTTTCCTCCTAACATCTGGAATAAGCTACTTCCTGCACCAGAGCCTCTGTGTGTCATGCCTTTACTGGATCTTATTTTGGGGGGCTGACCAGTTGCCTAAACCCACATGCCCCCTCTCACCTGGGTTCTCAAGAACTTCTATTTTGGACATCCACCAAAAAAAAAAAAAATCTTGTTAAGTAAGACGAACGTCTTACCCGCTGGCAGAAGCCTGTCATGCTCATCAAAACTTTGAGATAGCCAGGGTTCCTGGAATCTAAATCTTCCTACACAAAATAGCAGAATAGCTGATCAAATAAGAGTCAGACAAGTAAGGTTCAGCTTTGGAATCAATAAATGGGGCCAGACCCAGTTATTCACTTACATTCAAACAGCAAATAGGCTGGGTGCAGTGGCTCACACCTGTTATCCCAGTACTTTCGGAGGCGCAGACAGGCAGAATCATAAGGTCAGGAGTTCGAGACCAGCCTGACCAACATGGTGAAACCCTGTCTCTACTAAAAATACAAAAATTAGCCAGGCGAGGTGGTGCACCCCTGTAATCCCAGCTACTCAGGAGGCTGAGGTAGGCAAATCGCTTGAACCCGGGAGGCAGAGGTTGCAGTGAGTCATCGCACCCTTGTACTCCAGCCTGGGCAACGGAACAAGACTCTGTCAAAAACAAACAAACAAAAAACAGCAAATACCTGTGAACAGCCACCTGGGCTTTGCTGGAAGGTTCTCCCATTTCTGATGAGGGTTTGTCTCTTTTTAAAATTTCATTTAAAAAAGTACCTAAAAAGTGAATTGATCACAAGAGATTGTATTCAATGAAAGCACCTCTCCCAGCAATGTTAAGGGGAGAAATAAATTTGAGCGTAGATCTGTGGGCTCCCGGGGAAGGAAGTGCTCAGTAAGTGTAGTACAAGGCAGCATGACACTAACATGAGGCTGCAGGTGACACTGTAACCACCGGCTGACTACAGTATCAACATCCAAACAAAGACAGCAACAGATTAAAGAGGACACGCATGGCCTGCCCTCAAGCTCATTCATAGCCCTCCAAATCAACTCTTTGTGCAGCTTCTTGACTTTTCACAGTCTGCTGGCTTCAAGATGTTTTTCCTGGCCTTCTTCTAATGCCTCCTCCCCAATCCCAGGTAATATTATTGAGGGGGGCGGTACTCATTCAATATATATGTAAGTTATTTGAGAAAGTTTATTAAGGCACAGTGGCTCACGCCTGTAATTCCAGCACTTTGGGAGGCTGAGGTGGGTGGATCACAAGGTCAGGAGTTCAAGACCAGCCTGGCCAAGATGGTAAAACCCCGTTCTACTAAAAGTACAAAAATTAGCAGGGCATGGTAGTGAGCGCCTCTAATTCCAGCTACTCGGCAAGCTGAGCAGAGAATTGCTTCAACCTGGGAGGCGGAGGTTGCAGTGAGCCGAGATAGTGCCACTGCATTCCAGGCTGGGCGACTGAACGAGACTCCATCTCAAAAAAAAAAAAAAAAAAAAGAAATGCTATCCACAAAGTTGGATAAGTACAAAACTATCATCCCAGGAAATGAAGCCAATGACTAGGGCAGGGGTTGGCGAGTGTTTTCCGTAAGAGCCAGATAGTAAATATTTTCAGCTTTTACTGGCCCATTTGGTCTTTGTTGCAACTGCTCAACTCTGCCATCAAAATGCAGGCAACAGCCATGGATAATATGTAGTGAATGGGCATGAGCATTGTCTTAGTTCATTTTCTGTTGCTTAAAACAGAATGCCTAAAACTGGGTCATTTATAAGGAAAAGGAATTTATTTCTTACAGTTATGGAGGCTGAGAAGTCTCAGGTCAAGAGGCCACATCTGGTGAAGATCCTCTTGCTGGCGGGGACTCTCTGCAGAGTCCTGTGGTGGTGCAGGGCAACCCGTGGTGAGAGGGCTCAGGTCTCCCTTCCTCTTCTTACAAAGCTGCTAGTTTCCCTGCCATGATAACCCACCAATCCCTTAATGCATTAATCCATTAACCCATGAATAGATTAATCCATTCATGAGGGCAGATTTCCCATACCCCAATCACCTGTTAAAGGCCCTATCTCTCAATATAGTGACGCTGGGAACTAAGTTTCAACATGAGTTTTGGAGGGGACATTCAAACCACAGAAGTGTGTTCTAATGAAACCACGTTTATGGATACTAAAATTTAAACACATCATTTTCATGTTCCACAAAATTTGTTCTTCTTTTGATGTTTTCCCACACTATTAAAATATAATACTAGGACTAGCTTGTGAGCCATATGAAAAGAGGCAGCAGGCTAGATTCGGGCCGTGGGCTGCAGTTCACTGGCATCTGGTCTAGGGCCACTCTCTCAGTAACAAAAACTTCATGCATTCACCTCTAATAATACGCATGTGTATGTGACAATACTCAAACAGTGAGCAAGGTGAGACTGAAAAACGTATCAGTTGACACTCCAGAATTTTCTTGCTGAAATCCTTCAGTGCATCATCTTATAAAGTCCTGGGAATCCACGCTGAGGCACCTGACCTAGAAAAGGAGATGAGAAACTCCTGTAGATTTGAGTTTTCTGTTAGCCCACTGTCTCCAGAGATAACAATAATAATAATAATAACAACTATGGTGCATTCAACATCTCAATCTGAGATGTTCTGGTAAAATGAAGGCATGTCCGCATGTATTCACAAATACATGTATTCACAAATACACCTAGAGGTGAGAAATAGAAAAGATCTCAGTAGTTCAAATCTGAGTAGCGCTGTGCTTGTATCACGCAGCTCAAAATCTGCAGAAGCACTTGGACCAGTTAAAACTGTGCAATGGGGTCAAAAGTTCAAGTATTTTATCTCGATCGAGACGGAGGATGTGGGATGCCCTCCATCCTCCCTTCCCTTTTTTCCAGGAAGTTTGAAACCATCCCAATTTATTTTTTTCCAAAGTCTGACAATAATTCAGTGGGTCCTCCTAGCCTTGGAATGAGCCATTCCTAGATGCCATGGA